ATTTTATAGTATGTTGTATTTTAGTGTTCATTCAATTCTTAGAATTTTAAAATTTCTTCTAGATTTCTTCTTTGACTCAAGTATCGTTCAATAGTTTTAGAAGATTTATTTTTAGATCTAATAAGTATATTTAATGAAGTTGAGTTTTTATGTGGTTGGTGCATATTTAGAATTATAATACCTTCTTGATGGATTTTCCTTCTCTCTCTTGATTACTTTGAAGTCAACTGTCAAGTATTAGAATACCAACACCTACTTATTTTTTAGTTCCATTTGCTTAGAATAACTTTTTCTATCTTTTTACCCTAAAGTCACGTCAGTTGTTGATAACAATGTATTTATTGGAGGCATCAAAAGTATCATGCTTCAAATCTATTTTGCTAGTCTGTGCCATTTTACTGGGAAAATAGAGTCCATTAATATTGAGCTATTATTGAAAAATGTGTTATTAATTCCTACCATTTTGTTGATTCTGTATTATTGCCTTGACCTCTTTGGATTAGCTGTCCTGGTACCATTTATTTATTCCATGTGCTGTCAAGTGTGTTTACCTTTCTCTTCAGATTAAATTATTCCCTCTAGCATCATCTGTAGAGTTGGCTTAGTGGTCATAAATTCCTTTAATCATGGGGAAAAAAAAATTGTCCTTCAAATTTAGTGGATAGTTTTGTTGGGTATAATAGTTTGGGTTCCTAGCTGTGTCCTTCTGAGTCTGGAATGCATCTCTCCCAGATATTCTGGCTTTGAGTTTTCTGTTAAGAGGACCAGGTGTTATTCTGATGGTACTGCTTTCTCTCTTCTCTCTCTCTCCTTTCCCTCTTTCCAAGACAGGGTTTCTCCATGTAGCTTTGGCTGCTTGAACTTGCTCTATAGACCAGGCTGGCCTCAAACTCTCAGAGATCTGCCTGCCTTTGCCTCCCCAAGTACTGGGATTAACAGGAGTGTGCCACTGTGCCCAGCTTGGTACTACTTTTTCATATTACTTGATATTGTTGTCTTGAAGCTTTCAATACCCTTTATTCTGTGTTTTTAATATTTTACCTATGACTTGATTAGTCTCTTCTCTAATCCTGTCTAGTGTTCTGTAGGTTTCTTGTCCCTAGAATGTACATTTCTTTCTCCAGGGTTTGATTTTATTACTTCTGATTTTATTGAAAATATCCTCTATGCCTTCACTGCAGTATTTTTCTAAATCTGAAGTACTTTGTTAGTTATATTTTTTTTCTTTTTTCTTCCAAATACCTTTCCTCTTTCAGTACAGCCATGTACAATGTGCAGGAGATGGGACCTTTATTGAAGGCTCCAGGTTCTAACCCTAGTGTTTTAAGCTCTGCTACTATCTGCCTAAACAGACATCAGCCAAAGGTCACAGCATGTCCTTTACTAGCCTCTCCTTTGTTGCCTTTTGGGTGTGTATTTCCAAATCTAGTTGTTTTACCTTGAATAAACTCTAATAAACCCAAGATTGGGACATAGGATTTGGAAAATCAAACATGCAATTGGGAGGTATGTAGAAGGTATGTGGCTCTACGGGATTCTCAGGTGCTTGGGCTGGGATCTTTGGGGTGGACTGTGCCACCTGTATGAGGTGTGTGGGTCTACAAGGTTCATCCTTCAGTTCTTCAGTTTTTCCTACAGGTTATCTTTTAGCTTCAGTTAATAAGCAGAAGTTTCTATGATTCAATAAACACTTCCATATAGGACATAATGACTATTTATCAATTTCAACAGCAAATAGATTTTCTGTATGACTTAAAGTGCCTGAAAATGAGATCACCGTATTTAAAAAGTACAAGTAACTAAATAAATAAATAGACAAATAAGTAAATCATACAACAAAAAGGTAAAACAGTTTTAAAAGGGGGGAAAAAAACCCATGTGAGCAGCAGGGTGTAGTGATTCAAATCCCTAAGAATATTAGATATTCTCTCTTCATCCTTCAAAATATTATACATAGGCGTACATATTCACAATAAAACAGTAGTGATTAACATTCACTATATTCCCTTCATCCCAACTACAAGAGAAATCAAACAGGATATTTGAAAGCTATGACTTAGTACAAAAGATAACTAAAATTAATAGTTAATGAAACTAAGATCACTAATTTAAAATGCAGCTTACTGATTCTCATATTGTAAAAGCCAGTTCAAACACTAAGTCATCGTTAAGGACTAACTGACTTACTGTCTGTCTTAATATTAATGGACTCCTACATCAATCAAGTAACTAGCTGAAGTTTACCCTCATACCACAGATACTCCCTACCAAATGAACACTAATTTTAAATAGATAATGTGTCGTGGTACAATGAGAAGAATGGGGAAAGAGGGACATTCAGAATTTAGGTTAAATATTATTAAAATAGAGCTTGTTATACCAGAAATTACTTTAAAAGCTATACTGATTACTACCATAGGGATAATTATGCTTAGGGTTTTTTTTTTTTTTTTCTTCTCTATGATATTAAAACAAAGTTTTTCTCAACACCACTACTAGCAAAGGTCAATTTGTTTGTTTGTTTTGTTATTTATCTAGTTTTTCTTCTGGTCATATCTAATTACTTAATACAATCCTAAGCAGCAGTTATATAAATCCCTCACATTAAATAACAAATTCTTAAATTGTAAAAGAAATTATTATTTTATGATATACAAAAATAACAGAGTAAATTTTATTTTTGGCCTCAACTGTTTGTGTAGTTAAGAAGGAGAACACAGAGTAAATTCCATAAAGAAAAGGTTGAGTTATTGTAAAACACTTGAGCTGAGTAATACAGCCTACCACTTTTATGTAGGCGATGAAAAAAAAAGTATAGAATAACAAAACAAAACAAAAAAATACCAGGCATAAATTTACCAAAGAATAGCCCCTGTAAGAAAAAAATATCATTATGTCTTATTCTTATGCTATCCAATATTTGAAATGCCAGTTCTTCCAAATTTGTAAGCTTTATGAAATCTCAATTAAAAATTCCAACAGAATTGTGAGGGCTTAGCCATAGCCCTTACAACGTACTAAGTTCATCAAGAAGTACCAAGAACTCAAGTAAGTATCCCTACGTCCCCTGATGTCTATCTCCAACCAACCCTAGCCCTAGAAAATCATTTCTTTTTTTATATATAAACAAAAAGGTTGGAATGTTAGCGCTCAGATGCTACCCTGTACAGGACCAGCCAGGCTTTACATTCAGGACCTTACATGAGCTGCTAAATCTCTAGCAGAGAGCAGCTCCCAGGCAGGGTGGTGGACTACTATTAGCTTTCTAACTTACCGCCTACTTAGCACTTACAGCGAGGTATCATTTCTCACCTACTAGATTAGCAAAAAGCAAAAGCAAATCAAATTTGCAGGCAAAGTTATGGGAAAATAAGTACTTATTCCTTAAGAAAATGTATACTAAAACAACCCTCGTGATGTATAGTGCAAACCACATACATTTTTAATAAGCAGCCCACTAATATTGACCCTGACATAATACCTCGTTTAATACAAAAGGAGATCTGCACAATGCTATGGATACCACTTCTCTCTGAGAATGCCAAGCAGTGAAAACATACCTTACACAACCATAAACTGTAAAATCACTTAGTCAACTAAGCAGTAGTACAAAGTCATGCAGAAAGATTTCTTCTAATATACTATCTTTATTTAGACCTCCCAGCCACAAATTAAAGTCCATTAAACTTAAAAATGAGACAAGGAGGAACCAGATCTGCTATCAGCATTTAAACATTGGTATCGGAGTCTTGGTCATCAGGACAATACAAAAATTTTCTTAGAAAGAAAAAAAAATAAACTCATTACTTACAGTTGCTTTGGTCAGTCATAAAATTAAAGTTAATCCATTATAATAATTAATAAATAGGAATATAAACTATTACCAAAGTCAGGGAAAGTGGCTCAGTGGGTAAAGAAGCTTCCCACGGAACCTGACCATCTAATTTCCATCCTAGGACCCACAACTTGTCCTCTGACTCTATCATGCACCATGCCACATGTGTGCCCCCACAATAAATAAATGTAATTAAAAATTTAAAGATCACCCCAGATTATTTCTTTAAATACTAATGATAAATAAAAATTACTAGTTTAAAGAAAATCTTATAAGGGTAATATAAATGTATTAAACATCTCCAGACAAGTTTAGAAAGTTCATTAAAGGTCTACATTTTTAAAATATTATAAAATTTCATCCTTAAAAATACAAGGGCGCACTGGGTGGTGGTTTTAATCCCAGCACTAGGGAGGCAGAGGCAGGCGGATCTCTGTGTATTCGAGCCCAGCCTGGTCTACAGAGCAAGTTCCAGGACACCTAAGGCTACACCGAGAAACCCTGTCTCAAAAAACTCAAAAATCAATGGAGCTAAGAAGATAGCTCAGCAAGTAAAGGTGCCTACTGCCAGGCCTGACAATCTCCAGTTGTCACATTAGAAAGAACAGAGTCCTACCATTTGCCCTATACTTCTACTTTCACCCAACAGATTATGTGTCTCCTCAACCCTACAGACACAACTAAAATAAATAAGTGTAATAAAATTTAAGTCAATGCAGCAGGAGAGAAGCATCACAAGGTAAATACTCATGTACACTTTTCTCCAAACAAACCGGTAATTTTTATATAATTTTACCCTAATTCTGTTGAAGATAAGAGAGATTTAACAAGACAGTAAAACAAGAAAGAAACAGTCACAAAACATACTGCTGGTTCTCACCATTTAGGAAGTACAGTGTAAGTAACAAAAAAAAAAAAAAAAAAAATACCAACAACAACAAAAAAGCCCAAGCCAGTTGTGAGGATAAAGAGGATCCTGAATTTCAGAGCAATCCTGGCTGTACAGTGACAAAGAAAGGGGAGAGGAAGGGAGAAATAGGAAAGTGGAGGGGAGGAAAAGAGAGAACCAGAAAAAAAGGTAAGGGGGTATGTTTCAATGGCTAAAAGCAAGATAATTTTTAAAAATATATATAACAACAAAGATGCATGAAACACCATGTTTTACCTTAAATCGTTTGTCCTGTAGAACTTTCTTGATGGCAACCAATTCTCCTGAATCACAAAGTTTAGCTTGATATACCACACCAAATGATCCATTCCCAATAACTTTAGTGTCTGTATAACTGACTTCCTGTGGTCTGTCAGGACCCTGTCCAGGAGTTGCCACCACTGTGGTCACCTTGCTGCCATCTTTATCTCCTACAGAAAGAGAGGGATTTAAAACAAAAATGAGAACTGTATGGAAGTTGACCAAAACAACAAAACAAAAAACCTGCCAACACGTACAGAGTAAAGATAGCCTTCACTTAAATGTTTATCAGTTTAGCATAAGATAGTTTTCAATTACAATCAATTTAACTCACCATTTATTTACTCATTCTAGTTAAGTCTATTCTGTTTCATTTAAATATGTCACATCATTTGCTGAAAACAAACAGCTATAACGTAAATATATTGTTCTCACATTACAAATAATGGTGCTGGGAAGAAGGGGTTTGAAGGAAGGTTAACAGAGGACAATAGGAAGGGAAAATATGATCAAAGACGTGGGTGAGGGAAACTGTGGAAGTAGCTCAATGCTAGTCTGGGTACCTAGTGAGAGGATGGATGGATGGACAGACAAATAGATAAGATATTAGTGTCTAAATGGATGGATGGATGGATGGATGTGATAAGGTTCAAGTTGCCCCAAGTCAAAATACAAATGGTGGGCTCACTAGGGGTCTGACTTCTAACTTTTTTTTAAGGTCATTTACTTGAAAACAAAACAAATGTAACTAAAATTGCAAAAGTACACCATCTCCATCTTGAACATTCTGCCTTTTGGAAAGTAAGGCTTTGAGTTTCTGCTTTTCTTTATCTTATTCCCTCTTAACAACAAATTAGTACACTACCTTTGAGAAAATAGTCACATAAGGAAAAGAACTTTAATTTGGACATAACATGTAAAACAAACCACAATGCCACCCATTTTGTGCGTGGCTTACCAACACACCCTCATTTACAGACCTTTCCTTACCTTTTTCCTTTGCTTCATCTCCAGTAGCAATCCATAATGGGTCCTTCCAGCTCAAGATCAAATTCCCATTTGACCAGGCAATCCAAAGTCATCTCTGAATTCCAAACTATCCTAGGCTACCTATGGGCTCTAAACTGTTCTCTTAATGATTTCACAATACACATAGATTCTAGAAACTAGAATCATCTTAAAGTGACTATTGCGCTCCCTCTGCTCTGCTCTTTCCTAAAAAATCTAACACCAATCCAATACAAAGTATAAGAATATATGTAAATAATCTAAGTCATCCGCCCCCCCCCCCCCCACAGGGTTTCTCTGTGTAGCCTTGGCTATCCTGGACTCACTCTGTAGACCAGGCTGGCCTCAAACTCCAAGAGATAGGCCAGTCTCTGCCTCCCAAGTGCTGGGACTAAAGGTATGCACCACCACGCCCAGTTATAATCTAAGTTCTTTGGTTTCACTGAACTATATTTTCTTTTCTTTTCCTTCCATTATGTGACTCTTATTTTTAAGATGCTAAGTGACCTCATACTAACTTAATGAAGAAGAAATAACTCTTGCAGACATTTCCCCATCAAATACCAGCTGCTTGGTAAACAATTACCCAAAATGTTGGTGGTACACAATGACTGATAGGCATATCCATTTAACACAGATAAAAGCCAGTATGCAATGTCTGTGAGATCAATCTTTCCTTAAGATATCCTTCTTATCAGATACAAAATGACTGAACATGTTATGAGTGATTTCTAAATAAGCAACCAAGTGATTTACAGGGAGTCTGTATTAGGTCTTTCGTTTAGAGGCAAAACACTCAAAAATATATTATTGAATTAATATGAATTTCAAATTGGCACAGTATCATCTGTTGATAGATACATCAACACTACAATTTTAATTTAAACACTAGTATGTGTGTTATGAATGCATACAAACAGCAGCATAAGCCAACGTCTATATTGCAGTCCTCAACTCTTAAATGTTCTCTTAAATTATAACTTCTAGTAAAATAAACCAGACATTTTCTAAAGCCTACTTTAATTCTAAGTTACCATGTGCCATCTTAAAAAAAAAAAAAAAAAAAATCTATGCTCATCTTAATTACAATTTTTCAATTGGCTGTAAAAAAAAATCTATCTTCTGCACTTCTTTTCTTGTCTTTTTCCTTTGTTTTTGTGTTTATTTTGTTTTATTCTTGGACTTCGGTTTTTTTAATACAGGGTCTCTCTATATAGCTCTAGCTATCCTGGAACTCATTATATATAAAAAGCCAGCTTGAAATTCAGAGAAAGCTACCTGCCTCTACCTCCTGTGTGCTGGGATTTTTTAAGACTGATTCATAGTCTTTTGAAATTAAACTCTAAATAAAGAGATTCAGAGCAGTGAGAAGCAGAAAAATTAAAATACAAAGTATTGAATATATTTATTATATAATTATTTCAAAAATAAAAATCTGAAATGATTTCCTGAAGTGTTTTCTCCATAGCATCCAAGTAAAGCCATGCTGTCAAGAACTCTGAATTAGAAAATCCATTAAACAAGTCTGCTTTCCAAATGTAATAGGTCTAACTCACAGAAAAAGCATTCCTACTTTAAAGTAGGTAACTTGGGTTTTGGGATATTTTTGTTTGTTTGCTTGTTTGTTTTATCAAGACAGGGTTTCTCTGTGTAGCCTTGGCTGTCCTGGACTCCCTTTGTAGACAAGGCTGGCCTCGAACCTCAGAGATCCACCTGCCTCTGCCTCTCCAACTACTGGGGTTCTAGGCATGCGCCACCACATCGCTCTTAAGATTTACTCTCTTTTCTCTCAAGCAGTTAAGAGAAAGTTCAGAGAACTCTTGTGAGGCACAGTCTCTGCTATCATGACATGTCTGGAATAATCTAGCAACAATGGTTCTCAGGCTACCCATAACAACTCAAGAGTCCTAGAATTTTTATTTCAAAAATCATCAAGCAGTCAGAAAGACTGCTTCATTTAGAGTTTAACTTCAAAAGTGTGGATCTTTTGAAGTTGTGATTCTGTCTTCAGAAGTGAGACAACTGTGGTGGCACAAACACTCAATCCCAGCACTCAGGAAGCAGAGAGAGGTGGATCTCTCTTGAGTTCCAGGCCATCTTTGTATGTAACAATGAGTCTGAGGATAGCTAGAGCTCTGTGGAGAGAACCTGTCTCAAAAAAAAAAAAAAAAAAAAATCAAGAACAACAACAAAAGAAATGAAATGAAAAATACAAGTACAATTTTTTTTTTTTTTTTTTTTTTTTTTTTTTTTTTTTGTGAAGCAAAAAATTTACAGATGACTGAAGAGGTGAAATTAAGATGAACACAGCCAGATGTCTGAAGATGAACTAACAGAGCTAAGATGACAACAGAGTAATACCAGGGACACTAACACATATCACTGCCCTGATTATTAAGGACTTGTGTCTAGGAAGCCTGTCGCCAGTGGTATTAAAATCAGCTGATTTGGCGTAACAACTATATAAAATGACAGTGTTTTTCCCAAATAACTTCCCACCTCATTGTTTCAAGGATTTTAATACTTAAAGATAAAACCATATTATGTCTCCTATGCAAATAAAAGGTAAGTTAGAAAGACCACATAAACTTCAACATACTTCCTCAAGTTACTTCTTCTACCCTGTGTAACCTAACTGCTGCTGAAGGCTGACTTCACACGCCTTCCCACTCCATAAAAGGAGAAAGCCTGGTACCAGCCTGGGGAAGCCTTGGTTCCAGAGAGGCAGAGCCCTGCAGTAAGGGACCCTCTTACCCTCACTAGAAGGCATTTACAAAGACAGTTTGGCATCGAAACCTCCCAAAGCACATGAAAAATAAAATCTCAAACACTAGACTTGGTGACATCCAGGTAATTCAACATTCACCACTTAAAAGTTAGATTGACCTGTACCACAACAGAATGCCACTGACATATAAAAAGCCAAAATCCTCATGAAAAACTAAAACTCATAATAAATCTGTCACACAAGAAGGAAAAAAAAAAAAAAAAGAAAGAAACCACTTTGGCTAATGCTAAGTTTCTTACAACACAGCCTAACAACTCTCAAACTAGTCACATGACACAAACTGCTAAAATAAAATTGGTCCTTAAAACTGTCATCATTAAAAGGATAGAAGAGCAGAACAGGGGCAATTAATTAGCACAGTCCAAGCCCTCTCTCTGAGCAGAAGACTCCTGGTTCCTCCATAACGAATCACAATCTGGTCACATGGCACAAATTGCCTGCTATAATTACAACAGAAGGGTGTGTCTCCATGCTTTTTACCACAGTAAAGAAATCCTAACTCTACCAATCATAACAGATTTGTGAAAATAATGGCAGGATCCTATGCGATATAACCACCACCTTCAGCCATAGAGATGGCTCAGTGGACACAGTGCCTGCTGAGAAAGCCTGAACCAAATCTCCAGTCCAGGAAAGGAACCCATGCTGGAAAGCTGTCCTCCGGCCTCCATATGTGCACAATGGAACACAATGTGCTCACACCCATCACACATCACACACACAATAATATATAATGAACTTTTGAAAAAATTTTTTAAAAAGCAAGGACTACTTTTATTGGAGGTTGTGAAATACAGAACATATATATGGAATGAACATCCAAAAAAAAATCAAAAAGTCATCTCAAGAATAAAAAATTAAAATTTAAGAGACTTACTGGAAGATGGTACATGCTTAATTCCAGCACTTGGGAGACAGAGGCAGGCAGAACTCTGAGTTCGAGGCCAGCCTGGTCTACAGAGCAATTTCCAGGGCAACTAATGCTACATAAAGAAACCGTGCCTTCAAAGAGCACAATATATATATATATATATATATATATATATATATATATATATATATGTGTGTGTATGTATATATATGTGTATATATGTATATATGTGTATACATATATATGTAAATAGATAAATAAATATTAAATAAACATATAAATAAGAGATTCTAGCACTGTCATCTTAATTTTATGTGGAAAGATCTTAACAAAGCCATTAAGTTAATGTAGCTTTTTTTCCCCTTTTTTAATGGTTTTTAAATTTTTTATTTCATGTACACTGGTGTTTTGCCCGCATCCCCTGCTGGATCCCCTGGAACTGAAGTTACAGACAGTTGTGGGCTGCCATGTGGGTGCTGGGAACTGAACCTGGGTCCTCTGGAAGAGCAGCTAGCACTCTTAACCGCTGAGCCACCTCTCCAGCCCCACCTTTCTTTGAAAAAGCAACAAGTAAAGCAGAGTTAACCAAGAGGCTTTTAGAGAACATAGACTATTTTTTTTTCCTAAGACAGTTTCTCTATGTAGCCCTGGCTATACTAGATCAAGCTGGCCTTGAATTCACAGAGTGATCAGACTACCTCTTCCTCCCCAGTGTTGGGATTAAAGGCTTGAGCTACAATGCCTGGCTATCACACAACCATCCACATGATGCTCTCAGTGACCCAAACAGGGAGGTGGACTTGGCAACTACATTTGTAAAAATCTCCCTTTCCCTCAAGAACACGGTCTCTGGGTAAATGACACAAACTGAAAGGACCGCAACATGTCATCTGAGGCTGCACAGAGGCTGCCATGAATCCCACCTAAGAACATTATTCCGTGGGAAAATGACACTATTTTTTTCTTAATCACAAAGAAAGATGTATCTCTGTGCTTTTACCACAGTAAAGAAATCCTAACTCTATCAATCATAATAGATCCCTCATGAAAATAATGGGAAGACCCCATGCGATATAACCACCACCTTCCACAAGGAAACAGCAGTGATATTCAAGACATGGTTGTCAGAAAAGGAAACACTAGCTGTTGTCAATTTTTCAGGTTAAAAAAACAAATCAACTCTATCTCAAACAACTATTAAAGCAAGATGCTTTCCCAAAATAAACAAACTTGCACAGAAACATGAACAACATAGAGTAACAAAGGAAAATCAAGAACTGCGGCCTACTGATTCCAATAAGACAAATTCTAAAATCTCACAGTGAAAATATTCCACTCTTTTCTGAGGACTTTCTACACCACAGTGCAATTGTTCACAGACCCAGGAACAAAAGAAGCGGAGGAGGAAAAGGAAGAAAAACCAGGAGGTCAGATGAAGCGTTCAGTCCTAATGGGCAACAGCATGATAAAAATTCCAGAGCAATTTCTATATACACCATTTATAAAAAAGTCCAACCCCACATAACCCCATCTAGAGTATGAGGGAAGAGCAACCAGGCAAAAATAACTGCATTTGTGTTTCTGAGAGGACTCGCCTGTACTGCGCCATGCTCGCTCACTGCATTCAACGCTGGTTCTACACACAAGCGCAGTCTGTGAAGGACACGCTGCCACCAACTGCCAACCAAAAAACAATGCCTGAAACCGCAGAAAAATGCCTCCAACACCTTGCCTCAAACCTAAGAGCACTGAACGTTATGACTGCAGCGTTTTTACTACATTTTACTTACAGAAAATGGTTTAATTGCAGAAAACGAACTTTCCATGTTTTTTCTACTGTCATCCCTCAACATGTAACACATCAGATTATCTTCTAATTGTATTACATTAGGATGTTTTATTTTAAAATTTGCTGTGGAGAGATGGCTCGGAGTTTAGAGCAACCGTTGTTGTTGCAGAAGTCCCGGAACCCACATGGTAGATGGACAGTTACCAGCAGTAACTCGAGTTCCAAAGGATGCACACCCACGCTCTTCTGGTATCTGCAGGCACCAGGCACATACATCCTGGTGCATATATGCAGGCAAAACACTGATATGCATAAAATAAAATAAATATGAAAATGTTTTTTTAAAACAGCAATCTTAAAAACAGATGATTTTTAGAACGATACAATCCAGGGGCTGAAGAGATGGCTCAGATATTAAGAGCACCGACTGCTCTTCCAAAGGTCTGTCCTGAGTTCAATTCCCAGCAACCACATGGTGGCTACAACCACCTATAATGAGATCTGGCACCCTCTCCTGGTATGCAGGTATTCACGTAGGCAGAACACTATATATATATAATAAACAGATAAATAAATAAATAAAATCTTAAAAAAAAAAAAAAAAAGATGTTATCCAGTACCCTATAGTTCTGTGAAAAGCTTACACTCGGGCTGCAGTCCACCATAACAAAAAAGATACCGCACAGGGACGTGCAGCGGAGAAATGGGCTGCAGGCATGCTATGTTCAATCACTTTGTCCACTCTCATATTCTAGAACCCTAAGTTGAGGGAATGCAGCAGCCTGAAGAGGGTGGGCTGGCTTGCCTCAATTGATGTAATCCCACAGATTTGTCCAAAGACTCATTGCTCAGATAATACTATCATCTATCAAGTTGATAGCACTATATCAACATACTTCTACCATTCTGTAGTGTATTCAGAATACACTGTAGTGCAAAGCAGTATTCTCAGCACTGATCATTATAAAATCAAAATACTGAACCACAATGAAAAACTCTTGATGCGGGGAAGTAGCTCAGCGCTTATCTCCCATCTATAAGCCTCCAGTTCAATCCCTAGTACTGCAAACCTAAGTTCTTGAAGATATTCTACAGCATGTAGTACCAAATAGTCATCAACTTAAATATTTACATAAAAATAAACGAACAATCATCTCAGTGGTATGCAAATTTTATTTTGTCTTTAATAAATGGTAAAATTATACCTATAAAGAATTTTATGAAATATATTTGACTTACTAACAGTAAATGTCTGCTGATATATGTATATTTATTTTAGAATTTTAAAATTTCATTATTTTCTGTGTGTTCATGCAGGCTTTTGGGAGTAGTTCCTCTCCCATCACTATGGGGGCCACAAGTTGAACTCACATCATAAGGCTCATCAGTAAGCGCTCTTACCCACTCTGCAATTCTGCTGGCATGCTGTACACCTATTTTAGATAGTGATACATACACCTGACATTGCATAAAAATTGCAAACAAAAAGGGGTCACATGAAGAAAAAGTTTAAGAAGCCCCAAGACCCTGCAATCATTACTACCTAGGTCAGACAGGGAATATTTTCCCTGGTGACCTAGCAGAAGGACTGCTGTGACGGGCACAGAAAGGACAATGTCATAACTGGCATAGACACAAACCATCATTTGTACAAAAGATTTCTTGTGATTGGTGAAAGCATCCCTTTCGCCTATGTAAGAAAACTATTTGGCTTACTTTTGAGCCAATTAATATGCACTCCTGTGTGGCCTCTCCCAGTGTGGCCACAACAGGCTCAGTAAGAAGATTTTGAGTGGGCTTCTCTTGCCTACTTCTAGTAAAGCACTTGTGTTGCACTGGCAACACCAGAGCAGAGACAGTGGCATGAGACAGGACAATGGCCACAGCCTGTGGCCACACTGTCATCCTGACAGTGACATCAGAGGAGTGGCAGCAATCGACACAAGAGCACACCACGTTATAGAGGCTGCTGTTTCTGGCTGTTTTGACAACTGCAGAGGTGAATCCAACAGCTGCATTGACCAAGGAAAACCTCTACCTGTCCTGACAAACAGCAGAAGCATGGAGCTGCCCAACTGCCCAGCAGTGATGGACGGCAGAGGGAGAGCTAAGCGGCTGGCAAGCAGGGCTTCAAGTGCAGTGAAGTGGCCAGGGGCATCTACAGAGGGGAAGGCGGGGGCAGTGGTCATGACAGTGACCAAAGCAAGCTATAGCGACGGCTGTGGCTGCCGTGCAGGGCTAAGAAAACAAAAACGCCCTAAGCTACAAGGCTAAGTGTCAATAGAGGCTGAGGAATTTTTCGAGAACCTCAACAACTGTTAGGCTAACTGTCCCCAAGCAACCAGGCCTCCCCAGGAGCTACAAATACTAGATGGTGCTACCCACTATTGTTAGGCTTGCCTGCTGCCACGGCTTGTCAAACACTAAAGCCCAAGACAGTACTTGAAGAGCTTCTCCTCGCCCGCCCACTTTCCAATAAAGCAAGAGGACTCTGGCCAGCTGGTGGGTAACACCAGATTTTGAAGTTATAAAAAAGAAGGGTGCATTTCAGAGGCTTTTCCTGAGGAGTGCTAACTACTGACTAAGCAGTTTGCTGGGGTTTTGTTTGTTTTAAGTAGCACACTATAGACTTGGTGCTCAACAAATTATACTCTTTCAGTTATGACTTACTGAGCAGGAAAAAAAAATATCCTCCCCATCCACTATGCTCTTTTCCCTCTCTGTGACCTACTGCAGCACTTACAGCAATGTTCTATACTTAGTAAAATATTGGCCCCTCACTTAACTAAAGAGCTCTTAGGAAAACAGGTTATCTTGGTCATTTCCCTCCTGCTTATTATTATCACAGGATTTAGCACAATGAAAGTGCTCGGCAAATGTTTGTCTCAGGATTAACAAAGGTTGTTCAAGCAGAAGAACTGTTACAATTTGAGGACTGACTATACTTCATGCCAAACATAACAGTGCTTTTCCTTTTTTTGTATGCGTACCACTGTTCAGATCCAAATCCTGGGGTTACAGCACATAAACGCCTTCAGAACAGCAAAATCTATTCAGGACTTACCAAAAACAGGGCAGTGTTTGCCACATGTGGGTTTATCACAGGCAGATAAGTTACTGTTTCCAAATTCTCTTCCAAAACCTAACTACTTTCAGCAAAACTGAAAGTGTCAAATATTTCACAAAGACTCTCATAACAGAATCTACTGGTTACCCAAAATTTTACTTGGAAATAACTATGTGTGTTTTGAATTAATTTTAATTAACATATTTTATCTTCAAGTATTATTGTACTTTAAACCAAGCAATAACCCCAAAATAAGAATGAACTGCAATAATTTAATAATCTGATCTTAAGTATTGCTTTACTAAAAAAATCACAGAAGCAGGCATACTTTCTATTTTTTTTTTAACTTCCATGAACTAGAATAGAATCAAACCAAACCCAAAATGAATAAATATCTGACTTGACCTAACCTCACCCTTGAAATAATGACAACATAGGTTTCTAAACCAAGTACTATCTGAAAGACTGCTATCTGAAAGACTGGCATAGTGCGCCCAGGGCACGTTGACGTTAGAACTTGGACAACATTTACATTTTTAATGAGCTTACCAAACAGGCCAATTTTGAGAAGGGTAGACAGACAGCACTTTTTCCTTTAAAGAAGCTAATTTTCCAGATTATCGATATAATCGTACACCATACGTGGAAGAATCCAGTATAAGTGCTTATAGAAAAAAAAAAAAAAAAAGCAAATAATTACTTTTAAGATCTATGACTCAGAATAAGAGTTTCTTGCCCAGCCACAAGTCCAAAGGAAGGCCAGAAAACCAGTTTTACAAAACTGTTGACTCTTTAATTCTAGACCATCATGAGGATAGCATGAGAATTAACACTCTAGATGTTTCACAATGGACTAGGTCTGCTGGGACCTACCAGGCAGCCCTTTCATTCATACCTAGCCTTCTGACAACCCAAGAACACAATGTAGCAGTTCAGTCCATTCTGCCTTCCACTATAATATGCACCAAAGATAACCAAACTTCTTTCCTGGAGCGCACCACACAAGTTTGGGTTCATTTTCACACATATTTTAAAATGGAAAATTATTAAGCTACACATTGCTGTTAAGCATCACTGACAGCAGGGTTTACATTCTCTAGGACTAGTGCTCACTCAGGTGGCCCTGTGTTTTACTAATCACGATTTAACAACTAAAATCCATTACGAAAGGCAAAAATGTTCATCAGTCTTTCTTGTGATGACCCCACTTCACACCTATGCACACAGCAGAATGTAAAGTAGCTGCTCATATAAGAAAAGAAGAAAAAAATTCTGCAGCTGCCACTGTACTTTAGAAACTACTAGATTTGAAATTGACTGAAATCAACATGCTAGACTTAAAAATAGACAACTATTTAACAATCTTCCCTAGGACCAATCATGATCATCACACACCAATATCACAAGCTGGAGCATATATTGTACAAAATGCATTATCATACACATCTAATGTAAACCAGGCCATAATCCCAAAAGGGAGAGAAAACCGATCTGGAAAAAGGAAAAAAAAAAGGGGGGGGGGACTGATTTGAAGCTAAGGAGGAGGGGTTAAAGCTCAAAAACTAATAGGATTCTATAGTAAGAACAAAAACTAAAGCCTGGTCATCTACTTCACAAGTTCTGTACTGTACACTGTTCAATACATGTAAAGGTGGAAGTGAACTGAGTCATGTACACTCCAAAATAAATCTAAGAAAACATGGTCCAGTAGAAGCACACATTTTGAGTAAAGTCTTCACACGTATTAATATAAAGTGTAAGAACATCTTTTAAAATACAACAGCTTCATAAAACTACTTAATAGATTCATAAATCATCTAAAATGAATAAAAGGAGAGCCAGAATATCCCTAAGTAAAAAAATAAATAAATAAAATCAGGGAACTCATAGCAGACATTTGAGCAAGTTCATCACTATACAAAGTAATAATCAACTGTTTAACACCAGCTGTTCCCTTGCAAGAATAGAAGAAACATGAAAAGAAAACAGGGACGCAGAGAGGAATATGAAGAGCAGAGCTCACTAGATCACACAAATGGTTCTGATGTAAATGCCTTTAGTTTATACCTTGGATGCCAAATTATTCAAATAAAAATGTTAATGTAGCACACTGACCCACCTCCCATCCAAACAGACTCGAAAGACACTCAGCAGCAGTCAGTGAGCAGCACAAGGAAGGCCAGCTCAAAGCTTAACACTGCCACTCATTACAGCTGTAACTGTCCACATGTCCCTGTTCCCATAAGCTTGCAATATTTTATATCAGTTAAATCAATCTCAGACAATTTTCCAAACACATCTCAGGGTAGTCTTATCTTCCAATGCTCTTTCAAGTCTTGGTTACTTAAATTATTAATTAATTAATTAATTAATTAATTAGACAAACTAACCCAAACCCTTCTTTTCTCCCCCCTACAGATTTCATTCTAAACCTCAAGATCTAAGCTTAACCTTAACCCACAAGGATTAAGAGAAGCAGGGAATAAGATTACAGGACTGCACCTCTGTACCAGCAGCACACAAAAACAATGTTGCAAAGCTGCTGCAAGTGTGCAGAAAGGCCTGTCAATTTCCCCACAAATCCCCTAGTCAAAAGTCCCGTTGTACTTGCCATTAGTCAATTTCTTATTTGACGCAATAAATATACATATCTTTATAGTAACCACTGCTCAGCTATTAAGCCTTTTTTTTATAGGACAATCTAGGAAACTGATTTTTATTTTGTGAATTTATAAAACTTCTTACGAAAAAATATATTCTAATTTCCAAAGCAACTAATAAATTATCTCCTTTGTTTTTTGCTTCTGAAGGTTCCTACAGACAAATACACCTAAAACATTAAAACTGAAATTTTAAAATTTACAACGAAGACAGAGTACTGCTTTATAGGAACCTATGTATCTCTGAAAAGTAACCAAATAACAAGAGCATGGTCATTAACTTCATTTCTGCAAAAGACAGCATACATGAATAAAAAACCACCTTTCATAACCACTTCCCCAAATATCCTAATCTTTCTGATGGCTCCTTTGACTTACATACTAAATGCCTAATTATGCTTTTGTAGACATTACTTATTAAATAAATTGAAATTCTCATCTAAAGATCCATTGCATTATTTCAAATGTGGCTGGGTATCGCAGCACATACCTTTAATCCCAGCATTCAGCAGGCAGAGACAGGTAGATCTCTGAGTTCAAGGCCTGGTCTACAGAGTTCCAGGACAGCCTGGGCTGCACAGAGAAACTGTCTCAAACAGCCAAAAAGGTTTTCAAAAGTGAGGAGAAAAAAAAAAAAAAGACATGCATTTTCAAATAGTAATTGTTAATTTATACCTATAAATTGTTGTTAATCTATACCTTATACTTACAGGTATAAGCAGTGATATTTTATAGTTACTATAACAAGGAACATTTTTAAAAGATATCAACTAATAACCCAATTTTAATCATGTAGAATTAAATCCATATTCATCTTTATACTTGTCATTATCTTCGTCCCAGTAAATAACAGCTTAGCATCCCAACCCTTTCCCTGCCAAATAAAATAAAATTGAAAAAAAAAAAAAAGACTAGAAAAGACTAGCAATGGCACCCATGAAGAAATGTCACAGTCCATCAATCCAGGAAGGGAGTAAGGCCAACTACGTCAAAGAGTGAAGCCATTTGGTGTCTCTCCTCATAAAGCTGTGGTGGCAGAGATGCTCCTGAGTTCTTAATAACAACAAAGGCCAGTAGAATGACCAGGCCCTACACACTCACTTGTCTGAGAGGTATGGTTCATCTTGCTTGAGGGTCATGAAGGAACTAGGACACCCTTCAGAGAGCACCTCCCACACTGATTACTTGAAATGCCAGAAAATAAGAGAGATGTAAAGGGAGGGAACAATTTCACCCTTGCACGACCCAGATGCTTCTAATGTTTCTCTTTTCAGATATTTTTATCATCTCCAGTCAGAAATTTCAATTGGGCTTAAAGTTGATGAGAAGTAAAAAGCTCCTAATTAAACAAATTATTTGTAAAATCAGACAGTTTGCCAAGCTACATTTAGAAAACAATGATAATGAGTGAAATCAAAACACATATGCTATTCTAATTTTCAAAACTCATCTAGGCTGAGAAAGCAAAAATCAATCCATTTCACCACTCTGTTTCCTCCTGTAGCATCATTTTCCCCTGAGAACAGTCTTCCATGTGGCTACTAAAGTGTGGCAGGAAAGAAAACATGATAAGAGCTTCCTACACTTCATTTCTTCACCCCCAGTCCCAATGCCCTATTCATCACCTGGAAGGACCCCTGACCCTATGCCCTCTTCATCACCTATGAGGTTACCAACTTTCCAGGTTACTGAACTAAGCGAAGGAAAGAAACAAAATCCAACAAAGAATGTACCCCTGATCTTGGGATCATCTTGAAGACCTTTCTTTACCTCACTACTGCATCTCAAGGTACATAAGAGTGAATTAAAAAGCAGCCATATTCATAAAGGACAAAAACCACAAATAATAAGAAATCAGGAAGAAGTCACTGATGGGCACTATATTAAACTAAAAACATGGGGCAAAACAGCTCATTTTAAACCATATAGGAAGTTTGAGGGGTTTTGTTTGTTTGTCTGTTTAAGACATAAACATACTACAGGGGAAAAAAAGGCAAACACCAAACTAAAAACTGCAATCAAACTGGGGTATGGTGGTGCATATTTGTAGTTCGGAGCAGTTGGTAGTTCAGAGCTAGCTTTGGTTACATGGTGAGACTCTGTCTTAAAAAACAAAAAACAAAAAAAAAAAAAAAAAAACCTACAGATGGAAGAAAATACAAAAAGGGAAAAAAATGCTTCTGAGATTTAAGTACTGCAGGAAAACTTAAGAACATGATACGAAGCAAGAATCCAAGGCAAAGTGATAAAATAACAAGTAAAAAGAGATCATTTTTGTTCCTGCACTAGACTGTTGTTGCCACTGTAACAAGCTGCCACTAGCTGGATGGCTTACAAAACAAAAAATATTCTCTCTCAATGCTGGGAACCAGAAATTCAAATCACAACACCAGCAGAGCTGCAGTCGCCAGAGACCCTGAGAACCCTCCTGTCTCTCCTCATCAGTCCACTCTGCCTCCTCAGTTAAATCTCTCCTCTCTGTTCTCTTCTGTGCTCTTTACTAAGGATATCCATCCCAATGGATCATCTAGGATGACCTTATTTCAAGGTTCTTAAATTAAGAACAAAAACTTGTTTTACATAAGGTACCCTCATCAGCTGCAGGAATCTAACATGAATATTCTTCCTGACTAACATTTGAGCCCCCGTTTTAACTCAGGTTAAAGTTCTAAATCCCAACAGGTTGATGTCAGGCTGTAGGGCCACTGGTGGGTAATTAAACTTAGATGAGGTCATGAGATCTCTCTCTCTCTCTCTCTCTTTCTGCCACGTGAGAATACAGTGAGAAGCTATCTACCCTCAAAGCAAAAGGGCCAAAGAATGGAATCTGCTGGCATCTAAGAACTTTCAGCCTCGGAAACAGGAGAAATGCCACTCACTGTTCTTTAGCCATCCCGTCCATGCTGTTTTGCTTAAGCAGCTGAACTACCTTATTTTCCGATGAGCCATTTTTATACTATCACAGCTTCAATTATTCTTTAGCTCAAAATAACAATCATAGCTCTAATAAATAAGAAACAGCAAAGAGAAGAGACAGGATAAATGGAAGCAGAATGGAGGGGAGGAAAGGAAGTCATAGACGGTAAGAGTCAATTAGGAAACTGAAGTAATCCTGGAGAGAACTATGGGAAGCAGCAATGATTCAATGTTCCAGAAATGAATTCTTAGAAACGATACAAAAAAAATAATAAAATCTTCTTGAAATTAAAACAAAAAACAAAAAACAAAAAACAAAAAACAACTGTGCCTATGAGACAAAAAGATACAATGTAGGTTAGAAAGAACAGGCTCCCAAAGATTAAGTAAACAAAAAAAAAAGTCCCAGTTAAACTCAAGAGCAAAAAGTAATCCAGATAGACAACACCCAAACAAACTAATCACCCAAACAAATATGCAAACTAATCACTAACAGCTTTGTTAAAGCCCAACACGCTATATTGTTTTGTTTTATTTTTTTAGGGGCAGGGGAGAAAGGATTTGTGCTTTAAAAGAAGCTATAGTAAAAGCAATGAAAAAGATGAACTTTAAATACTTTTGTACATGGCTCCACAGAAGCTAGATGAAAGGTCTGTATTAGTGACTTTTCTGTTTGCTTTGATTTAACATTATGACCAAGGCAACTTACAGAAGGGTTTACAGTTCCAAGGGAGTAAGAGTTCATTGTAGTAGTTGGAGTCATGACAAGTGGCAAGTATGGCAGCAGGGGCAGAAAGCTGAAGGATCACATTCCACAAGCACTCTTTAGAAGGATCTAACTGGGAGTAAAATGCAGCTATACAATCTCAAAAGCGGCTGCCAGTCACATACTTCCTCCAGCAAAGGAGGCACCATCTAAACCCCTCCAACCAGCACCATGAACTGCAATCAAGTATGCAATGGATATTTCAAATTCAAACCACCACAGTGATAATTTCAAGTCAAGTACACCTGATTTTCAGTGTACTTTTACCTTCCAATTGTTAATAAGTTACAGGTCAAAAAGGAAATAAATTATTTCAAAAACTCCTCCCATCCCCAAATTGCTTACACTATTTCATCTTGCAAATTAGTAAATGCATATAGTTTCCAATTGTCCTGGATAGTTTTATGTCAACTTGACACAAGTTAGAGTCATCTGAAAGGAGGGAGCCTCAATTAAGAAAATTTCTCACTATGATCCAGAGGTAGAACATTTTCTTAGGGACTGATGGGAAAGGGTTTACCCACTGTGGGCGGGGCCATCTCTGGGCTGGTGGCCTAGAGTTCTGTAAGAAGGACTGAACAAGCTGCCAGAAGCAAGCCAGTAAGCAGCACCCCTCCATGGTCTCTGCCTCTCCTCCTCCCTTCAAGCCCTAATCTGTTTGAGTTCCTGTCCTAGCTTTCTTCAATGATGAACTATGATGTGGAAGTGTGCCAAATAAACCCTTCCCTCCCCAAGTTGGTTTGGTCATGGTGTTTCATCTCAACAATAGTAGTAGGCAACTAAGACACCAGTTTAACATTTAAATTTTTACATTTAAAATTTTCAACTTCAATTTGGTGGGAATGTGATATACACTCAGTAAGCTACACTGTGAGGCTAATAGTAGCAACATGTACCACACCATTGTCTCCTGTACTCTCCCCGCAGTGGCAGCCTGCCTTACAAGGGTTAGCAAGCGCTGCTCCACAATCTTCCATATTGCCAAGCTAAGATAGGCTAAGTGTATTGAATGCATTTTCAAAACATTCAAGGTTTCAACAAGGGATACATTAAAACTAGGCACCTTCAAATGTTTTGCTGGGAGAGGTGCAGTCCAGGGATAGAGATCCTTTTATACTCCAACAAATACTTCTGTCACTAAGCTTACAGGGTACCCATGGCCCTCATATGTAATTTTTTTTTAAGCCTCTTAAGATTATTTCCAAAACCTAAAGTAAAGGATGCTAGGTAAAACTGTCACTAAATAACTAAGCAGGAGGGAGAACGAGTAAATGGCAGCGGCTAAGCTTGCGATTTTAGAGAAACTTTGTGAACCCCCCCCCCAAAGGAGAGCTAACCCTGCCTGATCATCTGCAGTAGAGTAGGTCTCACCTTCTGTCAAGAGGACACACAGGATCTGCAGTTACAAGGGTGCAAATCACGCACAGATCTCCACTGTTAGGACAGATGAATACATGCCATCTGCCCAAGAGATACGTACATATGAACCTTAAACACCAGCTTCTCTTTCATAGGTAGACAGAGCAGGAACGGCCAAGCCACACTCTTTGAGCCAGTATTTTGCTTTCTAGGCACATGGCAAAAGAAAATTCTATATAAGTGTGTCTGTCTGTGTAGTAGAATAGCAATAAACTAGAGCCAATCTAGAATAGTTTTAAAAATCATGAGGTAAACTATGATATGCTCACATTGAGCAGAATACTAATCAGCCACTAAAATTATAAATGGTGTTTATTATAAAAATGCTTTTGCAATACAAGAAAAAGTAGTCTACAAAGTGCTATTTACATGTGTGCTCCATCAAAAAGCAAACAGAAATTGTCTCGGAATCATAAAACATAAAAAGCATTTTTCTTTTTTGTACCTTTGTATAATTTCTAAATCACCTTTAATTGAGCAGGTACAACATTTTTAAAAATAATTGTTTCTAGGTCGAGAAGGCTATTCCTTCTATAGTTGTTTGGTTTTGCTTTTTAGATTTATCATTTGTCAGCATACATGTATGTATAGCGCATATGTACCTGGTACCCTCTGAGGTTAGAAGAGGGTTTTGGATTCCCTGGAACGGAAGTTACAGATGGTTGTGAGACACCATGTACGGGCTGGGAATCAGGACCAGGTCCTCTACAAGAGCAACATGTGCGCTAAGGCACCGAACCCATCTCCCAATCCCCCCTGAAAGTTTGTTGTTGTTGTTGTTTTGCTTAGTTGTAGGGATAGAGAACAGGGGACTGGACATGACATGGAGACAGAGTCCCTCTATATAGCCTGGCTGTCTTTGAACTTACTACATAGATCAGGCTGTCTTCGAACTCTTACAGATCCACCTGCTCCTGTCTCCTGAGTGCTGGAACTAAAGATGTGCATCATCACGCCCAAGTACTCTTGGTATTACCTAACTTCTTTTTCGTCTACAATATGACAATAGCTACTGGTCCTTCTCCATCACTGTCTCTTTTACTCATCCATTCATTTTGGGGACAGGGTCTCACTACGTAGCTCTGGCTGGCATACTATGTCATAGACTAGACTGGCCTCAAACTTACACACTGTGACCCTCCTGGGATTAAAGCAATGTACTAATAGCTGTTTCTTAAATAATGTATCCTTATCTCTAAAATGTATTACAGAGCCTCACAAGGAGCTGGATTAAATGCCACACTCCAGTCAATGTTCACTATTTAAGCATTGGCTCTTGTGTTCAGTATAAAAGAGCTATGATATGCTGGCTAATTTTTGTCAACATGACATAAACCTACACATACCTGCAAAAAGGAGGACCTCAATTCACTGTCTCCCTCAGACACTATGGGCATTTTCTTATGGGGCAGGTGGACCTGAGTTGTATAAAAAAGTACCTCAGCAAGGCAGAGAAACAAACCAAGCAGCATTGTTCCTCATGGTCTCTGCTCCAGTTAGTTCCTGCCTCTAGGTTCCTGCACTGGCTTCTCTTGATGAGCACTTCAACCTACAGTAAGCAGAAATAAACCCTTTCCTCTCCAGGTGGCTCTGCAGGTAAGGCTCTGCAGTGTGAGCCTAGTAAGTTCCACCCTCCCCGGAAGCTGTGAAATGGTGGAAGGAGAGGACTGCCACCACAAAGCTGTCTTCTATTTCTAGTGTGTTCTTTTTGTTTTTTCATGACTGGATTATACTTTTAAAAGTATAATCTACACAATGTGTATCTTATTGGTTCTCTTAATGAGTTGAAGCTCTGAAGCTGGCAGTGGCTACCACTTATCAAAGGGCTTATGGGGAGGTCGGGGGTAGGACATAACATAGCTTGGTGTGTAAACGCACTTGCTGCCAAGCATGACCACCTAATTTTAATCCCTTGTACCCCACGTGAAAGAGCAAACCAACTCGCCCAAGTTATCTTCTGACTTCCCTATGTGTATACACATCAATATATATGTACATGTGTATACACATACACACACATACACAAAATGGTTTTTATAAAGTTTTATAGTATTATTTAGCAGAAAAAGAAATACCAGCTTTTTCTAATAATTCGGAAGACATCACATCAGGAACACATGTTCAAGCCTGGATCGCTAATTGCTGCTGCTATAGGTACATGATTTAAATATTACATAATTCTGAGGAAAATGGTTTCTGTTAAAATAAATCTATGCTAGCCATACGGTGGTGGTGCACACCTTTAATCCCAGCAGTTGGAAGGCAAAAGCAGGCAGATCTCTAGGAGTTTGAGGCCAGCCTGGTCTACAGAATGAGTTTTGGTACAACCAGGGCTACACAGAGAAACCCTACCTCAAATAAAAAATAAATAAATAAATCTATACCACATAATAGGTTTCAGAAAGGAGAAAGTATGCAAAAGACCAAAACCACAGCACACTTCAATGAACACCTTAGAGTCATTATCAGATACCCAAGTTCTCAGATGCAGAAATACAATCAACCAAAAAACCAAATTTGCTATAATGAAAACTCAAAACTTTTGATGACTCAGCAAGTGGTTTCTATCAGGGCACTGAACAATGAGCTCTCAGTACCCTGGTTCCTACAGATGTGCTTTAGTTATTAGTCAACCCCGTGAGCCACGGGGTTGACTAAAACAGCTCTTATTCAAGGCCCTTCCCCCGAAGAACTCCTGCTTATTCTGGCCAGTCCTAATCTGAAAAACAGGTAAGCATTTCTTAACTGTATTGTGCTCCTCCATCAACTCAAGGAGTTAAAGATGTATCAAA